ACCTGTCCGTACTTTCTTCCACCTATCCACTCCTCCCACCTCCTACCTACCAGCCTCATCCCTGCCCCCTTGACCTGTCCGTCCTCCCTGGACTGACCTATCTCCTCCCTACCTCCCCAACTACACTCACCTTTACTGGCTCCATCCCCGCCTCTCTGACCTGTCTGTCTCCTCTCCACCTATCTTCCCCTCTATCCATCTTCTATCCGCCTCCCCGTCTCTCCCTATTTATTTCAGAATCCCCTTCCCCTCCCCCATTTCTAAAGAAGGGCCCGGAAACGTCAGCCTTCCTGCTCCTCTGATGCTGCTTGGCCTGCTGTGTTCATCCAGCTCTACACCACCTTGTTATCTCAGATTCTGCCTCTTAATTTCCAGGCTCGGGATGGGGATTCGGTGGGGAGGGGAGCTCATCAGCTGCGCATCCAGATTGTGGGGTGTTTGCATGAGGGGACCACGACAAAGCCGAAGTGTTTGGGGCGGTGGGATATAATCCCAGATCGGGTGTGCACGCCTCTTTTCTTCCCCACCGCACCCCCCCCCAATAAACTCGTGGCGGTTTTGAGATTCGGCTTTCCCGTGCGTCCTGATGGAAAGTGGAGTTGCTGGCGGTGAAGAAGGCGTTTGGGACGTTTGCCTTTATTGGTCGGTGCGTTGAGTGTAGGAGTCGGGAGGGTCACGTTGCGGCTGTGTCGGTGAGGCCACTTTTGGAATACTGTGTTCAATCCCGGTCTCCCTGCTACAGGAAGGATGTTGGAGGGTTTGAGCTACAGAGAGAGGCTGGGGGCTATTTTCTCTGGAGCATCGCAGTGGGAGACTTGATTAAAGTTTATAAACTTACGAGGTGCATGGATAGGACTGAGGGTCACAATCCTTTCCCTACCCACCCCCAGAGTCAAAATGTCTAACACTAAGGAGCATGCATTTAAGGTGAGAGGGGGAAAAGTTTTTTTTTTTCTTTCTTTCCCAGCTGGAAAACGCTACTACACAATGGTCGTGGCAGATGGCACGCTTGCCTTCATCACTCAGACCCTTTGAGTGTAGGAGTTGGGAATGTCACGTTGAGGTTGTACAGGGACGTTGGTGAGGTCTCTTCTGGAGCACTGTGTCCAGTTCTGGTCGCCCTGTTATAGGAAGGATATTATTAAACTGGAGTGGGTTCGGGAGAGATTTACCAGGACGTTGCCGGGAATGGAGGGGTTTGAGTTATAAGGAGAGGTTGAGCGGTGACCTTGTAGAAGTTTATAAAATAATGAGGGGTATAGATAGGGTTAAAGGTAGGTGTCTTTTCCCTAGGGTGGGGGATTTTGAGACTAGAGGGTACGTTTATGTGAGAGGAGAGAGATTTATAAAAGAGACAAGGGGCAATTTTTTTTTTTTTAAATAGCTCGTGTGTGGAATGAACTTCCAGGTGAAGTGGTGGATGTGGGTACAGTTACAACGTTTAAAAGACGTTTGGATAAGTACGTGAATAGGAAAGGTTTGGAGGGATAGGAGCCAGGAGCAGGGGAGGCGATAACCTAGTGGTGTTATCGCTGGACTGTTAACCCAGAGACCCAGATAACGTTCTGGGGACCCGGGTTCGAATCCTACCACGGCAGATGGTGGAATTTGAATTCAGTTAAAAACAGCTGGAATTAAGAACCTAATGGTGACCGTGAATCCATTTGTGATTGTCTGGGGGGAGAAATACAGCTGGTTCATTCATGTCCTGTAGAGGATCCTTACCTGGTCTGGCCTACGTGTGACTCTAGACCCACAGCAATGTGGTTGACTCCGAACGCTGGGCGATTTAGGGATGGGCAATAAATACTGGCCTGGTCGATGACGCCATCACCAAGTTAAAGACTAAAATTAATAAAGGTGGGACCAGTTTGGGATAGCTGTTTGGTGCAGATTGGTTGTATTGAACGGTCTGTTTCAGTGCCACATAACTATAACTTGACAATGTGGGCTCCAAAGAACAACAGATACAGCACGAGAAAAGTGCATCTCATTGCTTGGAAGGGGTTAGAACGAATACCAGCATTGCATACCAGGAAGGTACTCTCACAATAAATTGTTCCGAAATTCCTGCACACACCCTACCAGGTAATGTGCAAACTCATGTTATTAACAGTCAGCAAGTAATATCGTAACAAGGGGATGGTGCTGTTTCACAGTGAGCTGGCAGTATTTCTTCAGAGTTAGCGATGAGTCTGGGGTTTGCTGTTCGTGTCCAGGCTTGTTTTTTTTTTCTCTCTCTCTGCGGAGAATCGCTGACCTGGGTTCGCAAACCCTAAATCCCAGAAACCTGTCAGGTCAGGATGTCCTCTGGGCTTAGTGCCGAGAGAGCGCTGCGCGGTCGGAGGGTCGGCGGCGAGGGAGGGAGCGCCGCACTGTCGGAGGGTCAGCGCCGAGGGAGGGAGCGAGCGCTGCGCGGTCGGAGGGTCAGTGCCGAGAGAGGGAGCGCTGCGCGGTCGGAGAGTCAGTGCCGAGAGAGGGAGCGCTGCGCGGTCGGAGGGTCAGC